TGAGGGCACATTCCCCTTATCCTCAGCACGGTTCCCTGTTTCTTCTTGACCCTCATGCTCCCTGACAGCGGCGGGGCTGCCAGATCCAGAGTGGGACATATCTAAGAAGTCCCTGAGAGTCTTTTCTGTGCGCCTAACTGACTGTCTCTGCTTCTCCAGGTCAGCCACCTTGGCCTCAAGGGAGCAAACACGTTCCCTGAGAACCAGGAGCTCCTTGCACCGAGCACACACCCAAGACTTCTGTCCAGTGGGCAAATAGTCATACATGTGACACTCCGTGCAAAACACAGGATAGCCCCCAACCCCCTGCTGGCATTCTGGCTTCATAATTCTTTTAAAATAAGTAAATATAACCCCCCTTTTAAAACCCTTTGTATTTATGTGGTTTTTCTTGTCGAAGTCAAATTACTTTACGGGGAAGACAAAGAGCCTAGGGCCTTTGCTTTCTGGCTCTTCTTGGGCTTCTTACAGAGCCCCTAGTTTAAGAGTTCCTAGACTCAGAGCCACAGGCAAAGAGCCCTTTAGCTCGCCCTTCGGCTTCTGCCAGAGGTGCTTTCTTAAATACTGAATTACAGTCAATCACAGTCAAACAATGCCCCTTCCTCTCCCTCTCTCAAGCAGCCAGGACTCTGCAACAACTCTAATTGCTTTCACACACTCCCAAACACAGTCCTTCCACACAATATCCTCAGCTGAATCCCCTCAGCTGAAAGCAAGTAAAAAACACTCACCCCTCTAGCAGCTCTGTCTCCTGCTCCTAGAGGAATGGCAAGGTTAGGAAGGGATGAATGTGAGCACATACTGAAACTTGATTGTAATAGGGAATGAAGACTGACTGAAGAAAAATCTTAGCAAAAGTGTGAGGACTTGGAGGGCATATTAAGGAGCTGACATAACTTGGAGGGCATATTAAGGAGGAGATGTGAGGGAATGCACATGCACATGAGCTACCTTGTACTGAATAGACCCTTGATGCATCAAGGTCAGTATTGTCTACTCAGACTGGCAGCCGCTCTCCTGGGTCTCAGGCAGAGGGTTTTCACATCACCTACTGCCTGGTACTTTTAAGTGAAGATGCCAGGAATGAGGGATGTGGCACCAAGGAGGGAGAGGACTGAACCAAAGAACAAATTGCATTCAAAAAGTAAAGAGACCATTGGGCAACTGGGGAAGGTAAAGTTCAGGAGTGTAGATAACAAGCAGAGATACGATAGAAAACTAGGGCCAACAGATAGGGCACAGTCATAGTGAGTTTTAAAAGGAAGGGCAAAGTGTTTGTTCTGTAATCAGAGCTGCTCTACCATTAGGAAAACTGAGTCAGTCACTTTGGGTGGTACTTTTGGTGGAAGACACAACTAGCCCCCTTTCCTGCCCATTACCTCTGCTGCTCACAAGCTGAAATAGCTCAATGTTGTCTTCTCTACCCCCAGCCTTCTCAAAGAGTGTGCCAACCCACTTATGCCATTCAGGGCAGCCTGAGCCATTTTGAGATCTTCTCGTAAGTGTTCAACCATCATTTTTGGTTGCCCGAGCCACCTGGCTCTCATTCCACCAAATGACTGTGCGAAATGCACTTTTGAACCCAGCTCAGATGATTTGAGGAGGTCCACAACATCTGTTGGTGAATCTCTGTGACTACCCTGAAAAAAAATATTTATGGGTTGACTGCAGTTTTTTAAAAACGATTTGTATTTCTTAAAATCTTGCTGATCAATTCTGTCTTTCTGGAAGTATCATAGAAATGTATATGCTGAATGATAATACGGTTTCTAACTTAGGCTGTTTCCACACTGGATGCATCATGCAACCCCAGAGGTTTCCCAGGCTTTTCTTGGCTCATTCTCAAGCCTATGAAGTTTTGGGGAAGATTGCAGTAAAGCCTGGATGGCTGCTGGGTGGGTGGAAAAGTTTGGATTTTCCTGTCCCATGTGCAGCCCTTTCCCCTGACGCAGCTGGCCCCATGGCAGCCATTTCATGCCGCTGACCCTTTGGGGATTTTATTATTTTTTAAGACACTTTAAAAAAATAGGTCTCTAGCCTCTTTCATTGTGCCTCTTGCCTTTGTATCCCTTCAACAAAGGCTAGAGACTTATTTTACGGGGGTGGTGGTGGGGGGGAGGAAACTGAAAATGCTCCAGTGGCCTGGGAGGAGGGGGCATGGTTCCTGCCATGGGCTGGGGCCAGCAACACTGCAGGGAAACCTGCCTTATGGAAGCCCCGTTGCTGCTGTGCTGTGTCAGGAAACCATATAAGCCTGACTCCATATGGTGAAACTCCCTTAAACAGGATATTCTTGCCCCAAATCCTTACTTGAACTGAGGTTTTTAAAAAACATTTTGAAATTGCGGTAAATTTAGAAACGGATGAGAACTTCCACTCTCCACACCCTTTGTTTCAATAAATGGCACCTCCCTGTTACATATTTACCTCTAGGCAGTGCAGTTAAATGACAGAGATTACCTTATTAACTGCCAGATGGTGATAAGAAGGGTGATAGGTGTGACTTAAAAAAGCACACATAAAAAGCAATATAGATTGGCTTTTGAAATTTCATAAGACATTTCATTTGCGTGTAAATGAACCAAAATAAGCTGACAGGGGAAATAAAAATAATAAACATTTTATTACCTGGACCCCAGCAGCTGCCCCCCCCCAAAGGTATGCTGATGCCTGTCCTGGCAGTCATTTACACCTGCTTTGAATGCATTGCCCTGAGGCTTTCCATAGACCAGGTCTACCTCCTTTTTCAGGGCCTTGTGAAAGTGCTGTGAAAGCCACCAATGGGGTGACTTATAATTATCATCTCATTACATACTGGAGATGAGGAAAAGAGGACATGGGTCGCGACACAAACACAAAACCTTCCCCTCCTTCCAAAAAGTCCACTTATGGTATGTAGCCATCAGCCTGTATGCTTAACAGCATCTCCTTTATTCTGTACAAGTGAAATGTCCCTTTGCACAGTGATTTCCCCCTCATTTTTATTAATGATTTGATTCAATAGCATAGGAAGCCCTTCACAAACCTTTTGTCGGGCAAAAGTCTCATCTATTATGCAGTCAGGCTGATGGTAACCTACCATGGAGTGGACTTGTGTTCGTGTGTGTGTGGTGGCCAATGTTGGGAATGTTCTCCTTCCCACATCAGTATTATGTGATATGATTATAGTTCACCAGCTTCAGGAAGGTCTTTTAAATGTGGCTGATCCTGAACAGCAATTTTTAAAAATGTTTTTCAAGGCTATGTTTTACTCCACACCAGAAAAGTCAATTTGTGATGGTTTCGCAATGTTACCGTTGTGTCAGTAATCCATGAGTTACTGGTCAGAGTTGAAACAAAACTTTCAGACAAATTGTTATATTCATAATGAGACAGCTGGTCATTACAAAGGTTATAAGAGGCTGTTAGTACAGTAATTCGTACCAACTCACCATACTGCTACTCAGAAATTAAGCAATACCTTACCTTGCTCTGAAGGTCTTCAATAGTTTTGTAATATGCAGAGTAGTCTTGTCTAGTGGCAGGGGAGCTGCTTTCGTACCACTCCCGGATCCGCTTTTCGAGGTGGGAGTTGGTGGTTTCTAAGGAGCGTACCTTTTCCAGGTAGGAAGCTAAACGGTCATTCAAATTCTGCATGGTCACTTTCTCATTGCCAGCAAGAAGTAGGTCATTGGTGAAAGCACTGGGCTGAAAACCACTCCCAAAGCTACCCCAAGATCCACCACCATAGTTGACACCAGTGGAAATACGGGTTCCATAACCACCAGCTCCTCCATGGACACTGGGTGTGCGGTATTTTTTGATGGATGTTTGTCTGTAGATGGTACTGCCCAGGCTTGGCCCGGTGGGTTGGAGAGTAGAGCTTGTGCTCTTTAAGTAGTTATTGCTGGAGAAAGACATTGGTGATTGTAAAGCAAATGCCCTAGAGTACTTCCAATTTCACTCTGCTTTCCTTATTGTAGAGAATGTTCTATAGAGCAAACATCTTGGACCTTTATACTTTGGGTCAATAAAGGAGGCTTGATAGTGTTAAACTCCACCTCTGCTGATAAACTGTTACGCTGGGTTGGTCATTTCACCATTTTGCCTCCACCCAGTCACCTGGCAGTAAAAGACAATTCAGTATTCAACCAGTAATTCAACTGTACTTTGGTACAAAGTCCTCAGGGGCCTAGCAAAGATCCAGGCTTTTGAATTATTTATTGTTTTACACCTGGCTCTGTTACCTGCCCCGCATCCTGGACAAACTAACAAACAGCAGGTGCATAAGATAGCTGGAAACTACCCTTGTGTACAGAAAAAGTAGCTTGCGCATGGCAAACTTACCTGTATCGAACTTTAATTCAGCTCTTTACTTCCATACAAATAGTGACATCTGAATATGTGAATTCTCCTTTTTTAGTTGCAAAACAATCTAGAAATATTAGCAAAGAGAGTTCTCAGTAATTACGATTTTAGCAAAAGGAATGCAAGTTAGCAGTTCAGATCCATGTGGAATCAAGCCAGAGGTTCACATGGTCCAATAATATAATTCCCATGCCAGATTCTGGATGTTTTTAAGGATGGTTTTGCTTCCAGAATAAGTAGGACCACAATTTTTCTGCTTTACAAATGCCTCCCCCTCATTTGTCTTTGGGTGCACCAGGAAAATGCCCAAAGTGTTAAGACTCAAAACTAAGGGGACTTCACTTATGGAGGGAATCTCAAAAGCATATGCTCCCTAGAAAAGTATGTCCAGATTGGCATCTGGTGCCTTCGTCCCCCAAGTGATGGTGCATAAAGCAACCACATTGGTTCCCTCTGCTTTCTGTGTGTCCCCATCTGCCATTTTGTAAGAAAGTGTCCCTAATTGTCCTAGAATGAATCTTCAGAAAGCAGTAACCAGGCCAATCCCCATGCTGTTTTCAAACTGCTTAGGGATCAGTTCTTGCATACGTGTTGTTCTTCTGTGTCGTCCATGATGTGCAGCAGGTAATTAGTTGGTGGTTTTTGGAAGAATTATTCCACATTCCTCTGTAGATGTTTCAATATACAGTGTATCTCAGGAGAGCTGCAGAAGACATGAGTACTTCCCTTTTTCATCTGGGTATGTCTTGGTAGTGTCTAGTGTCAATATATTCTTTTCCAGTCAGTGTATTACCCCAGTTCTGCATAAACCTCTGTTTTTGCACAAATGTTTTACTTCTTTAAGGTCCCTCAAGATACTTTTAAATTGTCAGCATTTAATACAATGGTTACAATAGACCATATGCTTTACCAAAAATTAAATAAAGGTTGCTGCCTAAAGCAGTGTTTAGTCCCAAAATAACTGGGAATCTGGAAGAATAAAGTACAGGAATTGACACAACTGTCAACATACTATGGCCCCGTTCACACGAGGCGTTTTTTGATTGGTTTGGCTCTGCCCCTTGCCCTTGCTGACTCTACATTACCCCGCCAACCCAGCAGTTCCTTGAAGTTCCTTGCATATAGCAGCTGAAACCAGGGATGTACAGTCAGCATTTCCAAGCCGAATTAATACCCGACACATACCTTTCTGGCATGATTCAACCATTAGTTAAGCCAAATTAGATTCTCTGATCTGATTGGGCTTACTGATAAGAGAATCCTGAATTAATTTGGGAAGCCCAATTTTTTGGCTCCATTATACCCTATAGGGGCATTATAGTCAATGGCAAATGGGTCCCCTCAGTATTAGTGCATAAAACCCCACATCATGCATGCACAGAGAGAGACCTTAAGGGCTCTGCTGCCACAGCTGAAATGAATGGAAGATGTGGACTGATATGTGTCCCTTATGAGAAATTGACTTTATTTATTTAGTCCCCCCTTTCTCTTCCTCATGCCAAATTTTCTCCTTTGCCAATTAATTCATGGTGGTTTAGACTGTGGATGATGTAGGCCCAGCCCCTTCTACAATTCAAATAATGCACAGAACCTTATTGGTTGGAACAGTTCGTCGCCCGGCCTATGGAGAATGGCCATAGAAGAGTCCTAAGTGGGTCTTTCCGAATTTTCCACACAGGCATTCACCCTGTTCAGTGAACCCTCTTTCTCCAGGGACAATATGGGCCTAGCTGGTTACTGCAGAGCAGAGTGAAAACTTAGGTGCCCTTTCAAAAAACATGTGTTGCCTGCTTTATATTCTCACAGAAGGAATGTGTCAGGTATCTGGTACTGGTTAGACCACTAGGGATAGATCTCTCTAGTTTTCCCTTGGAGATTTCCGGGTTCTGAGACCTGGAAAACGACATCACCAATGCTATGACATCACTTCTGAGTGAAAATGTGGAACACTCGCTGTGACGTCCTCCTTATTGGGGAGGACTAGTTTCACTTTAAAAGTTCTCTTTATTTTGTTTAACAGGGTAGATTCTGCTGCCACCAGGAAATTTTCAGGATTTCCAAACCTTTATGCTTTTACTTTTGCTCTTACTAGTTTGGTAGATCGAGTTCAAGGCTTACGAGGAACTATGTGGTCCTGGGAAGTATTTCATTCAGAGCTGGTATAAACTTGAATAAAAGAGGATTTATTGAAATAAATACTAAATAAGAGGGTGATACAATGTAACTAGTAATGTGTAAATGATGTACAATTGCTTTGGTATCACATACAATCTTCTCCCTCACTGACAGGGATCTTTTCATGTAACTTTGTAACACTTGTTTATCTCAATGCCATATATGTTCACTGTTTCACTCCAGTTTGTTATGACACTCAGACTTTCCATTAACTTTTCTTCACTTAAACTTTACTTTACTTTTTCCTATACACTCAGCTTTCAGCTCTCTTTCTCTTTCTCACTGAACAACTGCAGCTGTCAGCTTCTAACTGCTTCAACACAGAACTCACTGAGGCCCCGTTCACATGAGGCGTTTTGGGCCGGGAGTGGGCCAGATTGGAGACGGAGCAAACGGGCACGATCCCATGCCAACATCTGGCTGGCGTGGCACTCCTGTCTCCCGAGGTGGTTCATCCGGATGACGCGCTGCAAGCTGGGCCATCGGATCACCGGCGCATCTTTGCACCGGCGCATCCCCGGCCCCTAGCCAAACTGCGCATGCTCTGACATGTCGGAGCATGTGCAGTTCGGCAGGCTCCCATTCAGGGCCCTGGTTTCTCCCCGGCGTCTGATCGCACCGGGGAGAAAAGGAGCCAGGGGATCCGTGGGATCCCGCCGCGGCGTCTCAACTTTGGCGCGGCTTTTAGAGACTTTTCCCCTGCCGTATGGCAGGGGCCTATGTTTGTTTGTACCCAGAGTAAGGATAGAATAGGCAGCAATAGGTTCTCCTTATTTATTTATTTATTTATTTATATTTGAATTTCTACCCCGCCCTACCCCGAAGGCTCAGGGCGGCTTACAGGGCACTAAGTGCCAGATTAAAACAATACAATGATTAAAACAATAAATTACAATAAAATAAACAATTTAGGTTGTGAGATATTAGTAGACTTGAGATTGGGCATAAGGGGCTGGATCCTGTGACGCCCCTCTGTTAACCTGGATCCTACCACCATCTTCCTTCTAGTCTTCCTCTAATGGAGAACGTCAACAGAGTTTCCCCATCAGAAAAAGTCTTGGCAGTTGGAGAAAATCTTTCTTATTCACAGGAAGACTCAGGGACAAACTAGATATGACAACATCGTTATGGTCACCATGAGGATACTGCTGCCATTTTTAACTGATTTTAAAATGCCATAAGGCCTGATCCCAATCAAGCCTGCCATGTGAGAAGCTAAGGGTTTAATCTGTTTCAGGTTTTGAAAAGGTGCTGGGACAGGGGGGAAGAGCACTGCATTGCAGGCACAATCAGGATCAGGCCCTCCCTGCATTTTACGACCAGTATAAAATGGCAGTGGTGTACTTGTGACAGCCATGAAGACTCAACCAGTTTAAAATGGCAGTGGTGTACTTTTGGCAGCCACAAAGATACTCTCAATTCTAGTTCGGCTGTTAGAAAAAGAGAGTCATGAAGACCAATCCATTATTGAGGCTGGGTTTGTTTTTGTTTTTTTCTTCAAAGAGAGCCTAAATGCAGTTTAAACTGAAGCTGATAATGACCCGATAATGTCTTCCTCTTCCCCCCAACCCCAGTCGTTTCATCATGAGATAAATGTGAAAGATTGTGTTTGAAAGCTACGACATAAATAGTTTTGCAAGGAGTTTTGAATTTGACAAAAGCTGGATGGCAGTTTATAATCTACTAGCAGTAAAGCCCGTTGTGAAAGCAATACAACGAGATCTAGAAAGAGGCTCTGGGGCAGTGCTCTGGCTTTGGGCAAACAGTGTTAATTTGCTGTGGTGACCTCAGCAGGGTATAATGACAGAGTCCACTGTTTTCTCCAGAGGAACTGATCTCTGCTACCTGAAGAGCAGTTGTAATTGTGAGTGATCTGTAGCCCTCACCTGGAGATTGGCAGCAATTGTTACCTAGGACAAAATGGCTGGTTTGGAGGGTGTAGTCTATGGCATTCTACCTGTCTGAGGTCCCACCCCTCTGCAAACCCCACCCTCTCCAGGCTCCACCCCTCAAATCCCCAGGAATTTGTCAGCATGTAGTTGGCAACCCCATCTCCTTTCCAGCTAACCATCAACCTACCATTATCTGCCCCTTTGACTTCAGCTGACTTCTGC